TGCCTCCCAACATCTTGAAGTGCTTCTTAGGCTATGTCCGCTGTGTGGGCGAGAAGCGCAGGGCATCGATACCCGCATCGATTATAACATCAGTCGTGAGCAATGAACTCTACCGCATCTGTCCTGGCGCAACCCGCCTGCCGGCTCAGCAAGAACCAGCACGCGAAATCCAGAGATGCAATCGGTACCGAGGCATTCACGACCGATACATGAACTAAGTCCGCGCGGTTCGGATCCGACAGCCGACCTCAGGGAGTCGTTTCTGTGAGCCGGTTGTCCGACCCATGACAGCGCTCTGCGAGCAGATCGTGGGGGCAGCAGCTGCCGTCAAGGTGGGCTGGACAGATAAAGCCGTCAGATTCGCCAATTAATACACAGCGGCGCGGTATGGCGACGTCACCTGGCCAGATTCCACGATCTGATTAGAACCGAGCCATTTAGGAAATCAGCGACAGGCAGGTTTCGTCGGGCCCAGCGGTTGGTTTTTCCCGCCCAAAGCATGGTGGGGCATGCGGACAGCATGAGCTGACTTCTGTTCCGCGAGTTCAATGGCCCAGCAGCCAAATTCTCAGTGAGACACATAAGCCAGATTCAGGTGTACTCAGAAGCCGGACCTGACGCCAGATCTGGATCCAGCAACGGTCGCGACCACCACCAAACCGGATCCCGGCTTCAGCCCAAGCCGGCGGCCGGTAACCTGGGGGCTAGCCATGTCACCTCATCACCGCCATCGCGCCAGCCGACCCGCGCGGGCCAGCGGCGGAGCGCCCGCGACGGCCGCCGCCCAGTCCGCCGCCGTCACACGGCGAGGGGCAGCGCGCGCGATCTAAGCGCGCCGACCGTTGACGTGACCGACCGTGACGCGCCGTCGCTCAGAGAGTACTTCCACCGATCGGCACCGGCCGCCGTCGCCAGGGCCCCGGCGCGGCGTCGGCCGGCCGCGCCCCGCCCCGGCCGCGTCCGGGGCTCCCGCCGGGCGGCGCATATCAATGCGGCGCGGGCGGCCTGCTCGCGACCGACGACCGGTCGCCGATGTCGCCGAGCGTGCGTCGCCCCGAGCGCTCGGCTGGGAGCCCGGGGTCACGGCCGACCGAGCAGGACCGATGGAAGAGCGGGCGACGGACTGAGAGGCTCGCGGTGGACGGGCTGGAGAGAGAGTTCCATCGGAACTGCCAGGCGCGGTACTTGGCAGGACTGGGAGCTGGACGCTTGACGGGTCTCTCGAGATGCGCCATTCAGCCGGGAGCCCGTGATGCAGAAGCTGCTGCATGCTCCAGCAGTGTGCAGCTATATATGGCTGCAGACGAGCAACACGGGCGGATGAGCATGATCTAAGAGCCGGCAACGGCCGCCATTTCGCTAACATGCGACTCGTGGCACACTGTTGCCTGTCCACTCTCGCGTCTATTTATGGCGTTTTGATGGACCTCGTTCACGTTCTGCTCGCCGCTTCCCGGAACCCACCGGAATCCGATGAGATTTTCATACAAAAAGCCGTCTCAGAAGAGCCACACCGAGGCCATTAGCACTCAGCGCCCCTCTCATCCCCGCCGAATCATTTGCCACGCGTCCCGTCGCAAGCCTCGCCTCCACGTGGTCATAAATTACCAGCATGCCTCGCGCCAGGGGACACATGGAACAAAACACACAGCCCCGCGAGCGGGCGCCTAAATCAACTTCGGTCCGCGAGCTCCTCGTGCGCCTTCGTAGCCCCCGCCTTCGCGCGCGTCCGGCAGCTGCCCTTGAGCCGCACCCCCTCGCCGTCGGCGTCGACGGACTCGGATCGAGCGGGGAGGGGATGAGCGGGTCTTTGTGAGGAGTGCCTCGAGCTTCGACCCGGTTCGGCGAGGCTGGCGGAGCGGCAGCGGTTGTTTATGGCGCGCGGTCGCCACGCGCTTGGTTCAGGCACCGCGGCGGCCGAGGGCGGAGGCCGGCGCCGTGGCCGTCAAATCACCCGGACGCCGCGCGCGAGGCAGGCCACAGTACGTCGCAGACGAAAGGGCGAAGGAGTCGAAAGGGGGAGAGATGTAGGGAAATGAGCTCACACGCAGAGCCCCACGGGACATGTGTGACGCTGTGATATATAGGCGCACTTGGACTGGAAGAAGACCAGTGTTTTAATTAGTTGAGGGAAAAGAAAGGCTTCTAGTTACATTTCACTTGTAGATGGACGCAATGCTTATTCGTACCATGACATGACTTCCTAACACAATGCTTCATAGCGAATTTCTCACATGCCTCGCAGCAAACGTACTTCGTTAGCATTGCACCTTTCGCGCCTCTTGAAACGGGGGGCGAACAAAAGCCGGACAGTGCCCTCAAACTCATGGCCTTCCGTCTATGTGCAAACCTGGGCCTGCGGGACACACTGTCCGCCATTACAGGTTGCACTGTTGTCAGAGTGAATTACGACCCCATCAGGGGATCCGACCATAACACACCATAACGTACAACAGGCAATCGATGTCTAAAAGACCATACGAGATACGACTACTGGCCTACACGCGTCCACCGTCAGCTTCAGCTAATCTGCGTCACTTCTGGGACGCGGCATCCACTGCCATCGCGCAACGCTGGGAAAGAGCCCAGTCACACCACGCGTGAGTTCGCCGTGTCCTGATGGCGCACGGGCTTCGAAGTCAGGCGTAAACAATCCCAGAACAGGCCGGGCCCCGGTCTCGCAAGGCCAGTGAAGTGACCCGCGCAGCGCTGTCGTCGTGCCCGCCACATTTCGCTCTCCGAGTGGCGCAGCCCAGCGCGCCACTTACGCCGCGCGCGTTAGCTCACGGCGGCCAGCGTAGCAGCACGACTCTGGCGTAACTCGGCGCACGAGGGTCACGGTGGCGCCACCGGAAACGCGCGGTCTTATAGTCCGACTCGATCACGGTCGAAAGAGTCACGTTGTCACGTTGTGTGCTGTTGGGGATGGGCTCGGTTTGCCCCGGTCGTACTGCGGCGACGGTGAGACGCACGCGCCGTCACGCCCCACCCCCACACCTTTCCCGCGGGCCATGATCCTGCTCAGCGGCGCATGCGCCTCTAACCGGCGCCGAAATCGGCGCGGGCGCGGCGCACGCGCCGGCGGGGCCAGCCGGGCGCGGTTTACGAGTCCAGCGTACCTGCCCGCCGGCCTCCGCCCGCACGCACGCCAGGCGGGACGCGCCCGAGCGACGAGCGCCGCGGCCGCCGGAGGAAGTCGGCACGTCCTGCTGTCGGACGCGGCGGCCGCCGTCTGACGTTTTGTCAGATGGCCAGATTGGAAGGCGAGACGCTAATGAGGTTCGTGCGTGACGGAAGCGGGCGGCCCGGAAGCAGGGGGGGGGGCACAGTGGGGGGCACGGCTGCACGTCAGGCGCACGCGACACGGCTTGCACGGCGTGCGGCGGTAGCCGACCGTGGCGGTTATGTTTGGGAAACGCTGGGAATTACTGGCGAGAGGGCAGGTAGAATACGGAGCTCGGAACCAGCCAGTAGTCATATAATCTGAACATCCGCTAGCACTCTGGCGTTATCTCTTGAAGCCGGTCTCCTGATCGTTTTGTTCCTTGGTTTGCCAGTCGCTCGCTTGTTACATCTCCAGGCTGACACCGACGTTCTACCGTCTCTACTTCCTTGTCGTTACCTTATACTCGTATATCACGACACCACCTTGCACTATCCTGATCCCAATCACCTTATATCAGTTCACTAGTCTGCACTATCCTGACCCCAATCACCTTATATCAGTTCACTACTCTGCACTATCCTGACCCCAATCACCTTATATCATTACACTAACCTGCACTACCCTGGCCCCGATCATCCTTTGTCTGAGGCGTCACAGCACATTATTTCCAATGTGTGACGTGAGAACTTTTCATATGCGCAAAATCATGCAACACACTCCCCCACACCACTGTGTGCACGGTGCGTACCTGACCTTCAGCATGGTTGACAACGGATTATGAGCATCCCACTTATCAGGACCGAATTCGAGCCCACCCGCCGGCACGCACAACAAAACCAGCGATGTCCACACAGAACTGGCGCGACAGTAAAATACGACGACACATTGTGAGCCCCAGCCACCATCAAGCCTCCCCAGACCCCCGGATCAAACGGTCCCCGGCCGTGTCTGACTCGTCCCCGGGTCCGCCCGGCGGCGCACCGTCCCGACCGACATCTCCAGACCACTCCTCCGCCGATTCCTGTTATTAAATTCCATTATCCTTATTGGGCAGCGGCGGCGGCGGCCATCAGTTCGCTGCAGCGGCCGGCGCGCGCCGCGTTCGTCGCGTGGCGCCGGGACGGCCGCATATCCGACAAAAACGCGCGTCGCGCCGCCACCGGCACCGGCGCTCGCACCGCGCGTCGGACACCGCCACGCCGCCCGGTCGTCAACCCTGCGTTCGGCCCGAGCGACGCGCCGCCGCCGCACCGGCGTATGCAAATGCGCGCGGACAAATCTGGCGCGGCGGCGGCGCTCGCCGCCGGCGGTGACGAAATGAAGTTCCGAAGCGGCGCACCGCGCTCCTCTAACGGCGACAGCGGCCATTTCAGCGCGGTTGGCGACTGGATCCGGGCGCCGAGCCCAGCCACTGCGTGGGGCTGGATCAGGAGGTAATCCCGCATCGCGGGAGAAAATAGCCCCGGGCGCCGACCACGGCGCGGACAGGGCGAGATTGGGTGCCGTCGGCCGGCACAACATCGCGAGCGAGGGACGGGTGAGGAAGGGATTGGACACGCGGTCAGTGTCGGTGATCGTGTGACGCTCCACAAGAGCAGATACAACGTGGTTAGTCGAGTTCAAGTCCAGATCACCGCCACTCTTTCCAAATGGTGGCCAACGAACGTCTGTGCCGTCTCGAAACTGACGTCAGGTAGCGTCAGCACGTGCCATGCCGGCGCAGATGCGCAACGCTCAGGACTTCTGTCCACGTCGGTGGCAGTGTGGACGGTGATGTGGACGATACTGTGGACTACGATCAGGCCGCCGGTGTGGACGGCGGCGTGGATGAAGATCCCAGCGTAGACGTCGGTGTGGAGGAGAGCGTAGATCCCAGTGTGGACCGGAGCGTGGACGGCGGAGAGGACTTACCGTGTGGCCGGCGCGGACAGCGGCGTGGACGTGGCGAAGTTGTGTCGTGAGGAGGCGCGCGGGTCGGGGGACTCGCAGCCCTCCTCCTCACGCAGCGTCTGCACCGGTTCGTAGTCGTACACCACCGTCTCCACCATGGAGCCTTTACTGCTGCCAAACGACACCCTGTAACACGAGAGAAATACGCTGTTACTGAGCGAACGGCGATCATCGACGCAAGAATTCGAGCACGAAACGGCACTCTGCACACCAAATATTTTCTTTCCATCGGGCCGATCGGGTTCGATGAACCGGCGAATAGCAAGTAGACGTAATTGATCGACCACGCCTCTTGCAGCCAAAGGAAACATAGCGTGTGTGCAATGAGGACCTAACTTCGAAAAATCAATATATGGACCGCAGCGTGTCAGCTCGTGGTCCTATCCTGGCGAGTGCTTCATCACTCCGCTGATGACAGAACACGGCGATCCGTCACCGCCGCCCCTCCCCTCCCCCCCCCCTCCCTCCCCCCCGCCCCAGGGCGGAGCTTCGTCGGCCAGCGGTGAGCCCGCGCGCCCCGCCCCGGACCGGCGGCGGCGTCTCCACAGGTGTGGCGCCCGCTCGTCGCGCCGTTCTGGTGATCCGGCGGCCAGTTAGCGATTTTCCGCCGCTAACAGCTGGCCGGGCGCGGCTCCTACGCGATGTGGGCGCGGACTTTGAGGAGGCGGAGCGGGGATGAGAAGGGCGGAGGCCAGGAGGGCGTGCATTCTTTCTTCTGATCCGTGCAAATTGACGCTCGGTAGCAAATTCCTTCCTTCCTGGAAATCACGGGGATGTGCAGCGTTCTTAAATCCCGTACCAGACTGCAACTTGAGCTCCTGCACGGAAATGGCAGGTGACACCTGATATGCACACATACACATCAGAAACCAGCAAACCCAGCAACCCATACAACGTAGCGGGTACACCAAGCGTCAGCGCACAACACATCGCTTCCCATTATCAACAACTTCGTATCTTTCCACAATCGAACCAGCCTTCGTTTACCGCCAAACACGACCGTCTCTTCAAAGAACACAGCACTGCACACCGAGCGACAGCGCATAACACATCGCTCCTCATTATCGACGGCTTCGTATCTTTCGTTCATCGAGTCAGCCTTAGTTTGCCGCCAGACACGGCCGCCTCTTCAAAGTACACGACACTGCACTAACTCCACTACCTTTCGAAGCAGCATTTGCCGTTCGGAAACTGTCTGCGGTTTTCCAGGTGGGTACCGTGAGAGCGAGCATGTGCTGGCTGGGAGGGCGCAGTGCGAGCCCGCGTTTTCTTTGTTTCGAGACAACACTGCCAGACGGCATTCCAGCGAACCCCGAAGACGTCTTCGTTTTGATTACCAGGATAAGGGCGATTACTTGCCGGCAGTTTTTGCGACCTCGCAAAAACTGTTGGCTATTAATGGGTACAAACGGTGACGGACGGCTTATGCAGAAATGTTTTTTTTTTGCATCCTGGCTGCGGGAGACGTCCCGGTATTTTCCCGTCGTTGCTTGGTCGTGTGCAATAAGATCTCGTATGGCAAACTTCTTGCGAGGTCGCAAAAAGTCAATCCAATAAGTGCTCGGTGATCCAGGAAACGGACTAACGCGAAGGGAACAAACGGCTAGAACCCATTACTTCTTCCCAACGCGACGACATTCCTGATCCCACAAGTCAGCCGACTCGCGCGCTCTCCTCATCACCGCGCAACCGGCAACAACTCCACAAAAACCAACTCACCACCTCACCCCATTGTGACCGGCGGCGCGGCAAGAAAAGTCGCGCGCGACCGACGGCAGCCTCTGGCGCTGGCTGGGAGCGCTCGCCGGACCGTGAAGGCCCCCGCCGGGCGCAGTCGTTAGCTGCGGTCGGCGGGTCCCCGATCGTTGGCGCCGGATGATTGGTCAGGCGGCGCTCCGTCTGTCTGGCTTCGGCTGCCGGCATCTTTGGTCTGCGGTCCGGTCAGGACGCGGGTTGTGTCCTGGGCTGGGTGTTGAGGTCCGCAGGCAGCGTGAGCTGTCGTGGCAGCAGGATAATCGTGGGACAAACTGGGCCAGCCCATTAAATCCAGTTTTGAGACGCTCAGGTACCGGCTAAGTGGACGAGTTTTCCGCGTGGACCTTTGTTTCAGACGCTCTACGAGCACCGTTTGTTAAAGGACTATTCTGCGAGGATAAGAGCCACGACCTCTCTAAAAATAGCATGTCTGAATAAAGCTTACAGACTGAAGGATCGCCATCAGTCTACACCTGCAAGCTCTTTTCCCAGGCCACACATCATCGACAGCGACAGGGGCGCATAAAGATCGCAGTCGCGTCCTTCCCGTCGTGGCGCCACATTCGCCTCCACCGCGCGCCGGCTGTCGTATTGCACTCCGGGGACACTCCATCATTAAACCAGCCCGAATTAGCATTTAAAGCCGGCGCTATTACGGCCCAAATGAGAGGCACCCCTCTCCGGGGGACCAACGAGAAAGCCGACCCCGGCGGCAGCACGCTCCGACGGCCACGCGTCGCTGCCGTCGATTTCGCCTCGTCGCCGTCGACGGCGCTCCGGCGGCGCCATGAGGCGAATCGATCCGACGCGTCGGCTGGGGGAGGGGCAGCTCTGCCGACGGCACCCCGTCGATTTCGACGGAGGGTCGGCCGCGGCCGCGCGCGTTCGACGCGGGGCTTCCACGAACAGCTACGCTTCGGTTGAGGAGCAGGACCGGTTGTAAACGTCGGCAGGCGGACAGGCTTGGCGAGAGGCCGCTGTGAGAGGGTGTCGATCCGTTGCAGCTGTCGGAGGCTGGACTGGAGACGGGCCACGCCGCGGCTTTGTTCACGTTACACTGTTATGAGCTGACATTTATTCGACGAGGTGATAACGTAACAACGTAAATATGCCCAACTGCTTCACCCGGGTGCTGTTTTTCAAATGCAAGTTTTTGTGTGGATATATCGCACCAATAAGGGCACCAATATAAACAAAACAAGAAGCTGACTGCGCTCCGTATGATCTTAGAATTGCCGCCGAGAGAAACGGGCCTGGGAGAGACATCCAAACACGGACATCTCCTCCATCGCTGGGACACGGCAAGGTGTGGAGTCTATCCTCGCAGCTTATCGTCGTCGGAAGCGGAAAGCATTCCAGTGGAGGAAGGAGCGAGGTCGCGCAGCGCATCTCACTACGCGATACAACAGAGATTCGGACACTGATTGGGCTGACGGAAATAGGATAAGCAGGCTTGACAAGCCCGTCGAGAATCCTGGACCGCTCGACGGCTTCACCTGTCCTCCGCGCATCCTCCGGACGTGGGATTTCCACCGACTTCACTCATTCAATCGCCGCGTTCACTCCCACGATCAAATCCCACGATCTATCACAGAAACGACTGATCATTCCTCCCACACGCAGCGGTCAGCCGTCTGAGAAAAATACCTCGTGCAAACGCACGGTTGAGATAACGCGTTCCACTTGCGAGGGAATACTGCAGTTGGGACCACGCTGACAAAAGACGCGTCTGAGTCCGTGAAATAGCTTTTTCAGGAGCGTGGTGAACGGTTGTCCAGACCGGGCAGACCGGTTACGCGGCGGCGGAGCGCCCAGCCGACGGCCTGTCCCGCCTCGCCGAGCGCAGACCCCCACCGTGCAACAGTCTCCCGTTTTTGGTGGGCTGTTTATTTTGGCAAGAGGCGGCGCCGTTTGTCTCTGTCGGCGGCGGCGGCGGCCGAGGTGAGATCCGTCCCCGACGCGCCGACCGGAGAGGGGCTCGCGATGGAGGCGCGCGCGCACCGGGACCGGCGCCAACGCTTCCGGCCAGGCTTCCCACGCCGCGGACGCGCCCGTGAACGACCGGCGCCGCAGCCGGGCCGGGCCTGGGGAGCCCCGGGTGTCGGGGAATGACCCGACAGCGCCAGCGGGAAGCCTGGCGTGGCGTCCAGAGTGCCCTGAATACCAGATCACGTGCAGGAGCGGCATCAGCGATCAGAAACCAGTCCACAGTCGGAAGCCTTTAGGTATTGAGTCCAACTCGGAATATCAATAGCTTTTCTGAGATCGGCGGGCGGTCCACGAACGGAGAGAAGACAGCCCAAGGCATCAAGATAAGACGGTTCGTGATTGTCCGCAGCAAGAAATCTTCAGCTCGCGACCGAAAGCCAGCGGTGCTGACTCCCCGATCAGCGGCATCCCTCGCTCTCACCTCGCCGAGCTACCGCGGCTGCCGGTCAGCACCTCGTCGACGACGGCGCTGTGGCGGTTGGCTTTGACCGACCTCGACCTGCGGAGGCCGTGGCGCAGCGAGGCGCGCACCGCCTGCGCGTGCGCCGTGTCCACCAGCATCGAGTAGCGCCGCTCGGGCGGCCGTGGCCGGGCCGCGCAGCAGCACCGGCACGTACGCCAGCTGGTACTCGGCCGACGGCGGCGGCGGTTGCCGCTTGGGCGGCGAGCGCGGGACGTCGACGAACGTGAGCATCGCGCCGCTGCGGTCGGCGCCACCCAGACGCCGTTCCCACTGGCCACCAGTCACGGACGGACGCGACACGGACGGACGCCTCGCCGCGGGAGCGTCGGCAGCGTCGGCGGCGGCGGCGGCAGTGGTGACGCGTGAGGCGGTGGCACGGGCGGCGGCGGCGCGCGGCGGCGGCGGTCTGCCGGACCCGGCCCGGCGCCGCCGCCGGCCCTGGGAACGCTGAGCCCCCGGCAGCCCAGCGTGACTCCACGGCAGCCCGACCGGAAACTGCGGCCATTTTCTCCCGGTGGCGCAAACACCCGATGACGCCGCCCAGCTGATCGCCCCAAGCGCTGGCGACGTCTTCCGAGGACGCTGGACGGAAGACGGACTCATGGCGCTGAGCGAGAAGCGACTGGGGTCGTGAGGAGGGCTTAAGAGACGGAGCGGCGGGTGGGGTGCACGCAGGAGCCGCACGCAAGGTGGCGGCAAAACGCAGGGCTACCGGGGATAATTGGTTACGGTCTGGGGGTGACAAGGCTCCGGGTTGTGACGCGAGTTGGGGCACCGCACGGGTATGCGCGGACAACGGTTGTTGAAGGCTAGAAGCGACGGTTCACTTCACGCAGCGGAAGCTGTGCTCAGTGTCATCGAACAAAAGCATGTAGCTTCATGACGAGCTGCGTAGAGCATGGTGCGATGTTTAATGCCGGCGGAAATGTGGACAAAGAGTCGCTCAGCACATGTTCCGCCGTGCCCAGAACAAAGGGGCTGAGTTTTTCGGTCTCACGGCGACTGCATACATCAGCCATGTTATTTCCTGCTCAGGCCTCCCGTGGCCTCCAAATGTAAGTAGTAATTAGCCACCGTGACGGTTCACGAATCCGTAAATATAGACGGAACCAAGTGACTCATCACTAAATTCTTACAGCGTCATGGCACACGCGCACAGATCATTCCCGAAACTTCGGCGAGTGGAGAGCGCGTGTGACTAGTAGCAGTTGTCGTAATGACCCCGACACTGATTATGACCATCACATTTTACGCACTGTAAAGTTATCCGCAGTTGGTCCTTATGACGTCGTAAACTAATCGAACGCTTCTTTACAATCCGATGCGGTGATGTACCCCGATCGGAGCGTGACATCTTTACGGCCTTGAACTTCTCTAAAATTATACCTTTCAGATTTTGAGGACAAACGGCTGTAGACTTAAATTCTGTTTTTTTCAGCGAGGCCGTTCACTCTGTCGTGAATGGCCCCACCTGTCAGGCGGACAGCCGCGGTCCAGGCCAAAAACGCATCGTGTTTTTCTCACTTGTAGACGCCTCAGTTGCGCAAGACTATTTGTTCGGCGTGGCTAAAGAACGAGAAAAATCGCTGGATTTCGCGGAGAAAAAGGACTGAAAAACTTCGACCTTGGCTGACTGCATTTTCGCATATCATCCAGAGAAAGGCAAGTAGACTTCCTATCATCAGGGCGACGACCCATACACTCGGAAAAATTCGCCGACAAAGTCATGCCACGCCACAAGCAAAACCCCACTCGCCCCTCGGCATCTCACCCAACGACATGCATATACCCGAGTCAACAAAAACTTGTACCGCTGTCCCGATCCAAGGGCCTGCATCGCCGGGCATCATGCACCACTGCACCTGAACAATGACACAACCAACATCAACCTCAATGGGGCTGGAAACAAGTTGACCCGCCGTTGTTATCATCCCTAAACCAGACGGAGGCGAAGAAGCGCTTGGTTTTTGCGACCGTTTTGGGGCCATGTTCTTGTCCGCCTCGTTTGGATCTGCCAGTGCAGCTGAGCCCTCGAGTGTCGGCAGCCGTCGCCGACCGTACACCAGTGCAGTGCCAGCAATCGCCGACCGTGCACCAGTGCAGCGCCAGCCATCGCCGACCGTGTACCAGTGCAGTGCCAGCCATGGCCGACCGTGCACCAGTGCAGTGCGACGCGTGCCACCGGCAGCGGAGACTGGGCCGCCGCACAGGCGTCTAGCACCGGACATCGGTCGCCACAGACGCCCCCGGGCGGCGGTGGGGAAACCGCGGCGAGGCGGGGATGCATGCGGCCCGGGCTTCGGCACCGGCGGAGCCAGGCCGGGACCGTCTGGGAGTGGCGGGCTGCTGAGGACATCGCTTCGGGGGGGGGGGGGGGGGGGGGGGGGGAGGGATCTGGAGGCGGCGGAGTGCGACAAGATGGACGTTGTACTGCTCTTGGCGCCAGGCGCCAAGTGAGATAATGCTCACTGGTGGGATTTAAATAACTTTGTATTTTTACTTGGCTGCGAGCCCAGCCCCTTAACATTTAAACCTGGCTGAAACATCTGTAAACGGGGAAAGACGAGACAGGACATCTGGCCTAGACAACGACTCGTAGCGGTGTTGTCCATCATCACACCGGATTGTGGATAATCCCTCGATTACTTTACGACACCATAATAGTCAATGTTCGATTATTTTACGACATGGAATATGGTCGCGATGATTAGCTTCAGAGTCGATCACGCCCGATCGCAGCAGGACAGACGAGAACGCCTGCCGGCAACGGCTCTTTAGCGCACGAGCTTGCGGTCGCAGACCGCAGTCAGACTCAATTTGAACCAAAGCGTTTCCTCCAGGCAGAAACGCCTGGAAACCGTGTCAGATCGAACAAATATTCCCTCCAAGCCCGCACTGTTTGAACACGGACTCGTCCACGGCAGCGTTTCGCTGCGACGACCACTCAGTGGGCAAACAAGCCAGAAGCCGAGTCCCAGAGATGAGGAGGCTATCGATGCTGCCGCGCAGCATGTCCTGTTCCCAATCCAGCTCCAGCCTAGATCTGATCCAGGCATCATCACAACGTTCACCATAACTTTGAAGCATTCAAGTACAGTCCAGCTGTCTTATGCATGTTGGTAAATTATACCTTGCCATGTGACGCGTGCTGATAATTTCCAGGAACCTTGCATTCCTCAGGCAGTATCCTGGACACTCATTTTCCTTTTCCCCTCTTGCCAGTACGGGACCTGGGCCAGCTACCCACTGCAGTTTGCCGCAAAAGTCCCCGGCCAGCACACGTGCCCCCCCCCCCCTTCCCCCGCGCTCGACCAGGCGTGTGTCAGCGGGGCCAACTTCCAGCGCAATTCACTTCGCCGGGCCGGCGGTCGGCGAAACTTGACCTGGCGCGGCGGCGGCACGTCCTCCTCGTTACGAGCCGCGAGTGGTCGGCTATTCTGCGGTGGCGCGGGCCGGTCGCTCTCAACCGGCCGGCTGCAGGGAGAAGGGGCGGGGAGGGGGGGGGGGCGACCTGGCTGAGTCACGGGCCGGGGAGAATGTCGAGGCCAGCTGCTGAGAGAGCCGGACCGGTCGCGCTGGAAGGCGCGGAGGGAGTAGGCTGTGATGCGGTCGGGGGTGTGGAGAGAACTAGAGCAGGTGCGGCCTGGGTGCGGAGAGAGCTGGAGAAGTCAGGGGTTGGGATGCCGAGGGGGCCGCAAGGGACCATGCAGGGTGCTGAGAGAGCCGGAGAAGAAAGGTCGAAGGTGCCGAGGGGGCTGGAGACGTCACCATCTGAGTGCCAAGGGGGCTGGAGACGTCACCATCTGAGTGCCGAGGGGGCTGGAGACCGTCACCGTCTGATTGCCGAGGGGGCTGGAGACGTCGCCATCTGAGTGCCGAGGGGGCTGGAGACGTCACCATCTGAGTGCCGAGGGGGCTGGAGACGTCACCATCTGAGTGCCAAGGGGGCTGGAGACGTCACCATCTGAGTGCCAAGGGGGCTGGAGACGTCACCATCTGAGTGCCGAGGGGCTGGAGACGTCGCCGTCTGAGTGCCGAGGGGGCTGGAGACGTCACCGTCTGAGTGCCGAGGGGGCTGGAGACGTCACCGTCTGAGTGCCGAGGGGGCTGGAGACGTCACCATCTGAGTGCCGAGGGGGCTGGAGACGTCACCATCTGAGTGCCGAGGGGGCTGGAGACGTCACCATCTGAGTGCCGAGGGGGCTGGAGACGTCACCGTCTGAGTGCCGAGGGGGCTGGAGACGTCACCGTCTGAGTGCCGAGGGAGGCGGACAGTCAAGTCAGTCGTAACCGACGGGCAAAACCGACGCTACAGGGATAAACACCCGTTTTTATCGCCACAACATCACTGATAATCAGGAATAATAGAAACCTGAAAGGCAGTCGAGTGATGGTGCAAGGTTTCTAACCGGTGACAATAGCGCAAGAATGAAAGCCAACGGCTGGAGATCTTGAGAAACACAACAACAGCGTTGCAGGGGAGGCTGCAAAAGGATCCACGGGTCGTAGTGTTGGACAGTAGCGGTAAACAGATATCGAATCCGTTTCAATGTCACAAGATTTGTTGCAGCCTGCGACATTTCACCCAAGGTCACGGGAGAGTCGGCAGAGGTCTCTATCGGGCCTGCCGACTAACGCCGCGCTGCAGAATCTCACACCACACCTCATTATCCCCGACCTTGTTTACGACTTCATACGACCTCGGTGCGCGGTGACCTTGCCGACCCCGGAGCAGATTGCACCACTTAATCCTGGCCGGAGCGTCGGACTGAGGGACGTGTCGGCGAACGAAGCTGTAAGTGGCTGCGGTTGAAAGCAGCTATCAGTGCCGCCGATCAACACAACGTGACCGGCGCGCAATGGAGCAGTAGCCGACCGACGGCGGGCGGATCCGGCGTCTTTTTGGGGAGGAAAGACGGTCTGCCGGGGGGGAGGGGGGGGGGGACAAAGGTCAAATTTGGTGCCAATCACAATAAAGTTAGGGTAATAATATACAGGTTAGTGTCGCCTACCGTCTTGAGATGCTCCCCTGTACCATTGGTACCTCACGGACCACACAATTGCCGGGGAAATTTTTGGGCCGGCGCTGACTCATTCCGAATAGTCCGAAAATCGCAATCATTTATCAGTGAGACGGGCGTGTTGAAAAGAGGACTGCTGACAACGGGCAGCACTAGACTTCTTGCCCCCTGTCGCTCCCTTTGTTTTGGATCGCGTACTTCCAGATCTAT